CCTGAGGATGCTGTCAGTTCCTGACTATCGGGTCAGCAGCTCCAAGGGTGGGTGTCCCGGAGCCACGGGTAACAGAGTGTGAGGCGGGGCCTGTTGGGGCCACTGACAGCCAGGGCCAAGGCGGGATGGAGCCGTGAGGGTCCGTGTGCGAAGGGCAGAGGAGCTCGAGGCTCAGCTGTGGGACTGCCGGGCGTGGGCCTGGGGCCCCAGGCTCAGGGAAAGGGGTTTCACGTGGGGGCTGTGTGTCAACACCCTCTGCACATGAGCACAGTGCACCTGGGTGTGCACGGCTGTGCTCTGGTGTGTGTGCACAAGCACACAACACACATGTGCACAGCTGCCCTGTAGTGTGTGTACACGTACATGCAGCACACACACACACACCTTATACTCATCCAGAGAGTCCTCGTTTCTCCCTGTCCAGATGATTATTTTTCAGAGTCCTTTCTCCTGGTTCTTCCTCAGAGGGGACTGTTTGAAAGCAAGATGGGCTTGCTCGGGCCTCAGGTGTCCTCCGCCCCCACTCTCACCAGGTGGTGACCAGCAGGAAGGCGGTCCCCAGGCCACACTGCAGCTCCCCGGCCAGCACCTCTGCTCTGGCCAGAAGTCTGTCCGTCACATCTCTGGTTTTTGTCTCGCAGTTTTCAGAAGAACCGAGGCCTGGAGACATTATTGATATTTTTCACATTGGCTACAAGGACTGGGCCATCTACGTGGGAGACGGTAATGTGATCCATCTGACGCCTCCAAGTAAGGACTGTTGAAGATATCATTTTCAAAAGATTTGTCAAAGAGACAATGAGAGCAATTGCAATGAGACCCGGCCGAGGGGAGCCTGAGTCGGGAGACACATTCTCCCTGGGCAGAGCTTGCGCAGAGGGTAGTCCCTGCCCACACACTGGGCTCCCAGGGGTCCAACAGGTCCTGACGTAGCAGACGGAGGCTCACTGCCTTCCTCTGGGGCAGCTGGGCTGCTTCGGTGCTTAGATTCCTCCAGCTGCAGGCTGATGTAGCTTGTTTTTGCAGACTCTGATGGTATGATTTAAAGCAGCAAAGTTCATCAGAAGCTCACAGTCTAAGTCTTATGTAAGAAGGGCTCCCCGTGTTGTGTTTTTCAAAAGTATACAACTTCACAAACCAGGTGTATGTCATAGGTGCTCCTTAGCACAAGCAGCTTTCACTGGTGCCCCTCCAAAAGGAAAACTCTTATGAACATCACATAGCAAGCACCTGTGAATAATTTATTTAACTCATAAATATGCAAGGGGGAGAATGACCAAGTCAGTTAAACGGGAGATGAATGAAACTGAAGTCCGCACCGTCAGTGGAAGAGAACCGAGGGGGCCAGAGCGAGCCTGCTAAATCAGATGCACCTTGGTTCCCCCCCGACAGAGCAGTGGCCACATCACCTCTGACGCTCTGTTCTCATCGAGGGAAAGATGCTTGTCATCACTACCAGAATACTGCTTTTGCCCCTTATGTGTTTCCCATTAGTTATCATTTATCCTGAGGGTGTTGTGAGAACATAGGAATTGATTACTTATAGTCAATCAGGCTCATTGAATCCAGATGGCACTTAGGGGCCTTGTAAGGGGAAGCATTACTGTGAGGACCTGTAGTCCTTTTTATAGCCAATTTCCTGGGTGTGGACAGCTTTTCTGAAGAATATGGATTTCAAGTGCTTTCATCATACTTGAGATCAGAAACAAAAACTCGCGTGCTTAGAAAATAAAACCTGGACTCACCATGACAATGGGATGGGCACCGCATAGGCTGATAGCTCTTCTGCGGACCCCTCCCTATGCCCTGCATGTGCCAGGTCATGGGAGAGGAGACACTGTGTGAAGGGTTCTCTAAGCCTTTGCTCACTGCGTTAGTAGGAGCCTGGCCTTTGTGCCATGCAAGAGGCCGTTTCACAGTCCAGTTCTAGGAGTTTCACAGCACAGAAGTGCCTGTTCACGTCTCTCTGGGCCCAATACAGGGAGAACAGTCCACAGAGGGCCTAAGCAGAGTGGGTACTAATAAAAATAAGTCTGTTTCTGAAGTTTAAAGCTGAACAAGGATATCAGTGTATTGCTAACATAACTTTTTCACGGCTAAGCTTTGGATGAACCCCAGTGCTCAGTAGAAAGGGGATCGGTCAAATTTACTATGTAAATGTTGATAACACAGCACTAAGATATTGTCCTGTGACTCAGCCACTCACAACTGTGACACTTACAACATGTAAAAAATAATTCATGATGCCTTGTCAACCAGGAGTTACATCCATAACCGGTAGCATTTTCCCTTTTCTCTTTTCTCCTGCCTTCTGTCTCCCTGCCTCATCTTCCCGTGACCCCTCTATGTGATTCCCAGGGGGTTTCCCAGGATCGGCTCCTCCAATATGTTCATATTTCTGACTGGCAGAGCACAGGTGACGGAAGAGCCCCTGGGGTCGGCGGCTTGGGGCTGCTTATATCGGGTCAACAACTACTTGGATGATAAGTGCAGACCCCGGCCTGTGGATGACATCATCAGTTCTGCCAGGGAGATGATTCATAGCGAGAAGACATATACAGTTCTTTCTGATAACAGCAAAACTTTTTGTCACTGATCTCAGATATGGCCGGCCCCGCCGTGAGTTGGTAAGGCCCTCTGCAGGGTGATCCTTCTCCCTCTGCAGTTCTTCTTGGAGTGGGATGGGAAGTGGGGCTTTGGGAAACCACCACTTGAGCCTGCTTGGTATTTGTTATGTTAATACTATAGCATTACGTCTCATATTAATGCTACAGTATTTCTACTGTACTTCTTCCCATTACCATTTCTCCCCTTTCTGACCCTCTCCCTCTGCAATCACCACACTTGTTGTCAACGTCCGTGGGAATATTAATTCTCATAGCGATGATGCAACGGCAGGCACTTGAAAGCTCTTAGCTAATTAAGTCCTGACAACAAGCCAGTCTGCACATGGGGGGCCTGGGCACACAGGGTTTAGGCGACTCCTCCATCATGTCCAGCATCAGATGAGCAGTGACCCAGGTGTAGCACATCCTTGAAGGGCACCTTTCAGTCTGGAAAAAACATTCCAAATGATTGTCAGCATGCAGCACCGGATGTCGGGAACCATTGCTCTGAAAGTGCTGAGTAGCCAGTCCCCGGTCTCACACCGCCACTGACTGGCTGGGAGACCTTCCCAAGTCACCTCGCCCTACCATGTCTTGGTTGATGGTCTGGTCCTAAAGTCGGAGGGTGATGGGCAGGCTGGTCCTCATGCTGCTGCTCTTACCATCCCTCAGTCGATGCCAAACCCAGGGGGATGAGCCAGATAGGTACAGAAAATTGCATCAAAAGCAATCTCTGCATAGAGAGGAGGGGCAGCTGGTCCAGCTTGTGGCACTGAGGTGCCCAGGGGAGAGGGTGTCTGCTGGGAGAATAGTATTGTTAAAGGCAGAGGGTCTGGGAGGGTGTTTGGAGGACAGAAAACATGCTATCAGAGGAGCAGAGGCAAGAGAAAGCATGAGACGAAGGGGGGAAAGTTGCCCAGTAAGTGCAGAGCAGAGGGATGAGGATGAGGAGGGATGAGCGTGAAGATGGATGGGGGTGAGGAGCCAGATCAGGAGCTGTCTGTGGGTATGGACAGCATTCTGAGGCTCCACATGGGTCATTGCCAGATGTTCCCTTTGAAGGACCCACCGGATGACGTGAAGTGGACAAGGAGTGGTGGAAGAGTTGAGGGGACAGCATTCTCTGACCCCAGTTAGAGGGAAGGAGGTGGGCAAAGATGTTATTGAAGGCACTTGGTAACTGGATGCGGGGCTGAGGGAAAAGGAGGCGTGAAGGGTGACTCTGGGCCTCTGACTGAGCAATCTGGGCTGAGTGGCACCAGAAGGAGAGGCACAGAGAGAGGAGAGAGACAGAAAACAGGCCTCATTCCCTGGGGATTGAATGCAATGTGGGGGAACGCCCACCCAGTCTCTGGAAGGGAGGGTGAATGTGCAGAAAAGCAGCCAGTAGAGGGGGAGTGCTGGTGGGGTGGGAAGAGCAAACTGCTTTCTGGCTGAGTGATCTCGGGGACGTCCCCTAACCTCTGCAGTCCCAGCGCCACAGCCGTGCGTGCGTGGGGATTCGTCCCGCTCTGTAAGGCCAAGGTGCTCCTGGGTGCGTGTGATGAAACGCTCCCACTGATAGCTGTGTGGTCACCACCAGGCTGGATGCTCGGCCCAGCTGCCCACCGTGTCGCCCTAAGGAGCTTCCGTTTGTGTTTCACGTGAATGAGTGCCCAGAGGCTTGGGAGAGACCCTGAGGAGGAGGCTATTCAATGAAACTGTGGACAACCTGCTTTGAAACATGTTCTGTCCAAAAAAAAGTTTGTAGGTTCAATCCCTGGTCAGGGGGCACGTGTGGGAGGCAACCAACTGATGGTTCTCTCTCACATCAGTCTCCCTCTCTCTCTCTCCCTTCTTCTCTCTCTCAAATCAATAACCATGTCCTCAGGAGACGATTAAGAAAAAAATACCTAGAAAACATGTTTCATTAGTAGGCTATTTGAGACTCAGTAAGGACAACAGATCAGGAGACAATTTCAATGGGAAAGACAGCTTGTCACAGTTCCCAGGAGGAGGGGACACGCCACACCACACGGGCCTCATGAGAAAGTGCCGGGTTGGTGGGAGGCAGAGAAAGTGGGCGAGAGCCTTTCCTGTGGTTTCTGTGGGAAGAATGACTGAGGCAGGACAGGCAGGTTTAGGACTAGCTAGTTAGAATAATTTCTGCTGGCTCTGGGGCAGAGGGGCTGGCCCTGGGCAGATTAGGGCACCTGAATAGGTGGCCTGGAGTATGAGAACCTCTTAGAGGAGGTCTCTGGGGCTGTGGGCTCTTTGCATTTGGTCCATTTGCATTTGAAAAGCACCTTTAGGGCCCAGTCCTTTTCTGTCATTAGGGGTTGGCTAGCCCTGGTGGGGCAGGGGGCAGTCTCTCCTGGTTCCTTAAGACTGAGGATGTCAAAGTGTCAGAACAGATCAAAGACAAGGTTAATGCCCAACAATGGGGCAGGACAAATGTGCTAGGGCCCATCCAAGGAGAAGGAAAGACAACTTTTCCCGCTAGACAACCTTTGTCTAGGCTTCCTGTCCCTCCTGCCCCCCAAAGGGGGGCTCTGGGAGAGTGACATCAAAGCTGCTGGTCCCAGCAGTCCCCAGGGTGTCTCGTCCCTGGGTCACCCTAGGGGTTGTGTGGCAGTGAACACAGCTCTCCCATCCAGGCCTCTGCTGTTTCCTAGAGGCCTGTCTGCACTCTCTCTGCTTCTTCTGTTGTAGTCACGCGAAGACCCGATGCCTGGAGACCTGATGGAAATATGTCGAGGCCTTTATGAACGAACACTGGGCCATCTACGTGGGAGGCGGTCATGTGGTCCACTTGGTCTGTGAAGGTAAAGATACATTATTTGTTTAAACAGCAGCTTTATGTTGAGAAGAGGGAAGAAAAAGACAGCTCACTGCTGTGGGGATTAGCCTGCTTCCTTTTGAATTGTGACATGTTTGATCTTCATTCACTGAGTCAGGGAAAGCGATGGAATGTGGACTCCATTAGTTGACAATTCTGTTGTGACTCTTAGGTGTCCGGAACTATGCCAGGTGATAGGAAGTAAGAAAATGATGGAAAGTTCTGTCTTGCCACGGAGCCACACAGTTTTTACATCATGGGGCAGAAATGGCCAGGGCTTTGGAGTTGTTTTAAATCCTTCCTCCACGACTTTTTTCTCTTGGGTGTGTTACTTAAGTTCTTTGGCTCAAAATTGCTTTATGAAATGGAGACAGACATTTTCACCTGGGAAGCACTGTAACAGGATCAAATGAGACCTGTTCCTTCCTGGGAGGCACTCAAAAAACTCAAAAATTGGTCTAAGTCAGACCCATGCCCAAAATGCATAATCTGCAAGGATTGTTACCATGTCCTCATCTTAAGTCAGGAACAAGTTGAAACAACTGAAATGCCTGGTAACTGGGGATGTGTCTGTAAATTAAAGTCACGACATCAATGGAATGCCATGGCTGCCATTCCAAGTTATCAAGTGGTTCCCCATTTGTTGCTATGGGAACATGTTTGCAATATTGTTAAGTATGTAAGTTACACAAGTTATGGATCAAGCAATTGCACTCCTGCTGAATTTAACATCTAACAACAGGAGAGTAGGAAGAAGGGACCCCAGAGGTCAGTAGTGGGACTTTTCGGTTTTCCTTCTCCTCCTCCTTCTCCCGCCTGCACTGCTAAGCATGGCAGCACCTTACAGTGACTGTCTGTGATCTCAGATCAGTACTCCAGGCCTCACACTTCCAACAACAGTGAGCATGAAGTAAAAGCTGTGGTGAAATATGAACTTCTGAAGGATGTGGCTAACAACGACAGTTACAAGGTCAACAACTACTTGGACAGGAGATTTAGGCCACGTCCTGTGGATGACATTGTCAAGCTGGCAATGCAGAAAATTGGTGAAATCAGGAGCTACAATGTTTTCAAGTCCAATTGTGAACATTTTGTCACCGAACTGAGAAATGGCCACAGCCACAGCGAACAGGTAAGACCCTCGAGCGATTCCTTGTGGAGTTCAGTTCACAGAAGTTGTGAGGCGGCTGTGGGTAACTATCAGAGGTGCCCTCCTGACATCTCTCACCTAAACACCTAAGGACCAAGCACCTAACTCACCGAAGGTCGCCAAAGCTAAGACACACTTCAGAAGTGAACCAATAGCTTTCACTCCAATGTTAAAGGGACTTATCTAAGAAAAAGAAGAAGCTCAAAACTATGAATAGTAAGTAGTAAGATGACAATGAACTCATAGCTATCAACAACCAAACCTAAAAACACAAAAACAAAAACAAACTAAAGCAAACAACTAGAATCACAGAAATGGAGATCACATGGAGGGTCCTCAGCAGGGAGGGGAGGGGGGAGAGGGGGAAAAGGCACAGAGAATAAAAACCGTAAGTTGTAGGTCCAAAATAGACAGGGGAAGGTTAAGAATAGGACTGGAAATGGAGAAGCCAAAGAACTTATATGTACGACCCATGGACATGAACTAAAGGTGGGCAGGAGTGCTGGTGGGAGGGGCATGCAGGGTGGAAGGGGATAAAGAGGAGAAAAGATATGGGACAACTGTAATAGCATAATCAATAAAATATACTTAAAAACCAGTACTTTGTCCACTGAGTCCCACTAGTTCTCCTCTGTGGAGAGCAGTTTCAGTGGAGGGATCTTTTCCAAAGGCTCCCAGTGCATCCTGGGGTTGGGGGATCATTGCCCTGCACTCAGGAACGGCTGACTCAAGTGCCCGCACCACCACCCACCAGCCAGGAGACCTGCTCGAGGGCCACTTTACTGACTAGACTGGGATTTCTCATCCAGAAACGAGCAGGTGTCTCTGTCCCATCCACTTCACAGTCTGTTGCGACCATTAAGTGATGGGGAAGGTGATGTGACAACTGGGAAGCTCAGCTCAAAGGAGAGCCTCTGGTGCTAGCAGTTGCTCCTCCCACAAGCCTGTGGGTGATCGGGTCAAGTAGTTCCTGTTCTTCCTACAGGAGAGGAGCTCTGGGAAGTCACGTGGTTTACCTTAAGTTTATCAGCATCGTTCCTGTGACCCCCAGGCTGCCATGTTACAGTTCTTCTGCCACCACTAGGAGGCATTGGGTCCTCTGGTCCCTATTTCTGCAGCAGCCCCTCACCTAGGCCTCTGTGCTCTCAGAGCTCTGGGTCCCTTCCAAACACTGAACTGCCTGTAAACAGAGGACACCAGAGCTAAACTCCCTGCTCATCTTCCACCCACTGAGGGTTGTGGGCAGTTCACGTCCCCTCTTGGGCCTCAGTTTCCCTGTGTGCAGAATGAAGGGCTGGGTAGAGGACCTGGGAAGGAGGGCCTGGGTGGCTCTGCCCATAGACAATCCCTCACCTCTGGGCTCAGCTCTCAGGACGCATCCTGGAGAGTCTTGTAGTTGTCCTGGAGAGTCTGGCAGGAGACAAGGTCCAGATAGGATCACCGTATCCCCAGAGGAACTCCAAGGTCCCATCTCCTGGGGACACAGTCAACTGCTTCCCTGGAAAAGGTTTCTGGGATGAACAGAAGAATTCATATGCCTCTGTGTGACTTGAGGGAGGGAACACCAGTGTTGCATTTTCTTTCGACACTCTACAATGCACTATTCTATTTTTCAGGCTAAAAAGGCAACTGCCGTGTTGATGGTTATACCAGTTCCAGTGGCCTTGTCTGTGTCACAAGCACCAAGTGCATCAGTGTAACAACTGCTTGAGAAGCCACTAAACATTCTCAAGTCAGAGGCTGCTTCTCGGACCAGCTGCTCCTCTCTGTGCCTGATTCTCTCTCACTGGTGGATGAAAGGACCAATTATAACATGGCTGCAGCTTCTTGGAGAATGAGATGAATGAATCCAGTGTCCCCCTTCATCAAATATTTCTGCTACTTTCTTGTAGACTAAGACTCTCTGGAAAGGAAGTACCTACAACTCAGTGCCTCTGGCGCACTTCTAGAGGCATAAATCTTGAAAAGGCTCTTGAAATCTGAGCCTCAGTTCCTGCTTCTGCGATATGGGGTAATCACGATGGCTTTGCTGTGTGTGGTCAGGGTGGTGGGAAGTGCCTGAGCACAAGCCCTGACCAAAGCTGATGCTCAATAAATTCACTGAATGCACTTCACGTCCGCCTTGCTTAACTGTACTCTCCAGGGCGGGCAAGGGACTGAAGTTCCGCCGGTGACCCCAGCACCGGATGAAGGAGTCCAACAGCCCCGCCAGACAGACACCTTGCCCCATCCCTGCCAGGCCCCCGAAGGCCAGCCGCCATCGGGTGAAGGGTGCTCTCTGAAAGGAGTGCTAGCCTCTCGCTCCCTGTGACTGAAATGTGAAGTCACTGTCACCGCGTGGGCTCGGATCGGCATGCGTCGATCTGCTCCAGGTCTGATTTCTGGAAGGCTTCTTCCCTCGAAATCAACCCGACCTATTTCCCTGCAGGCCTCGTGTGTAGTCTCAGAAGCGGTGACCCCTCCTTCTTCCCTCCGGCACCCTCACTCTGCAGGCTGCTAGGCTGCTGCCTCTGCCCCGGCAACCTCCCCCACAGAGGGGCCCCCAGGAGAGAGTCATCCTCCAGTGGGGTCACCATGGCCACCACCACTCTGGCTCTGGGGGACAGGTGACACTTTCCACTTTGCTCCCCATCCCAAAGACGTGACAGGCTGGATCCCCAGTCTCCACAGGCAGCAAACACCAGCCTGTAGCTAGTAAGAACTTACGGGAAGCTCAGGGATACTAGGAAGGAAGAGCAACTAAGGAGGTGACTTGTAGCTGCCACGAGGTAATGTGGCTACGCTCTGACCCCAGGCCCACGTCAGTTCACGTGTTTACACAGTTGCGAACGGTGGTCCCTGCATTGGTCCTGGCCTGCCTCCCATCGATGGGCTCAGCTCACCTTCCACCAGGCGATGCTCTGACACGGCTGCTTCCCCGGGCCCGGGCCCAGATCACGTGGCCACACACAGCAGGGGAGGACCTTCTCTTTCCCAGTGTGACTCACTTCCCTGACACTGTAGCTGCCCCAGGATCAGTTGGCTCCCAGGGCACCTAGCAATGTGAATGTCCATCGCTTGGACAGAAACACTGGACCTTTCCTATGAGGACCGTGTCTGTTCTCTAGGGTGGGTCGAAGCTCTCAGCTCTCCATGCACCTCTCCTTAGTAGCACTCATCATACCCCAACTTGACTCTCACCGTGTGCTCTTGTGACAAGGATGTGTTTTCATTACAAATGTGGTTCTACAGAGCCAGCCTCATGACTCCTTTTCCTCTCCATGGCCAGCTGAGCATCACACGTCTCACATATAAAGGTATCACCACTAATCACTTAGAAGGGCCTAATACAGGGGCCACTGCACGTAAAAGAAAGAAAAAGGATACACCCCATTGCCAGGAATGAAGGGGAAGCTTACAGCTGGAGCAGAAAACGTGAGCTGATGCCGTGTGTCAGGGAGGAGGGCAGGTGTGTGGGGATTTGTACAGGGATAGACCCTCAAGGTTTCAGCCTGGAATTCGAATGCCTGTGTACCGACAGGAGTATCAGTGGTGGACCAGGAGGGCTATGGAATGGGGACTGAGATTCCCTACATAAAGCTGAATCTCTGAAAGAAAAACCCCTTAGAAAAAAGGGGGAGGAAGATGAAAGACTGCCTAGAGCTCTGGGTGTAAAGACAAAAATGTCTCCCAGGAGAAGCGGTAAGACTAAGCCATCTCTCGGAGTAAGTGGTAAGATGCAGCTTTGCTACCCCTGGAGGAACCCCCAATTTAGACTAGTCGAGTCCCGTCATCGTCCTGCAGCCATCAACGCAGGGACGCACGAGGCTCCCACATGAGCACCAACCTGCCAGCAGGGAGGGACAGTACACACACTCAATGGGAGAACTGGTAGCTTAAGGTTAAAAATAAGAAAGCACTCCAATACGTTTATTTCTGTGGGCATATGCAGACATTTCTCTGGCATAGACGTCCAGTAGTCCATCACTCGCTCTCGAAGCTGAAGAGTGTGTGTTTAGCTCTAGTACCTGTAGCCAAACAATTTTCTAAAGTGACCAAATCAATTTATTCCTCTCCCTTCTGTGAATCTAAGTGAGCCCCAGTTGATTTACTTTATTGACAACACTTACTATTGCCATTTACAACAATGTCAGCCCCTCTGGAGGGAGCACAGCTGCCCATCCTGGTGGTTTCATTTACACTCACCTGATCAGTAATGTTACTGAACACAGTTTCATGTGATTATTAACCATTAGAATGTCCTTCTTTGTAGGGACCTACTCGAGCCTTTTGACTTTTTCATTGGACTGGGTATTTCTTTGGGGTGTTTTTTTTTTCATTAATGTTTTTTAAACTTGAATTTTGAAGTTCTTGTCTGCCTACTCAGATATCTAAATCATATCCGAGTCTGCTCCTGGATCATTTTATCCTATGATTGTCAGTTATGTTTTTCTTCTTTACTCATCTAGTCATTTTTTTATTGGATGCTGGACATTGTTTAGAGGCTCTGGGTTATTATCTTCCTCTACAGAATAGTACATTTTGATAGGGCAGGTTGTGAAACTACTGGTAGATCTCCTTGACCACATGGAAGCTTCAGTTTAGACTTGTTCGGGCAGGGCCATTTCAGTTTTAACTTACTCCTAGAGCAGAGCTATCAGTGTAGGGCGGAGGTGTCCAACCCACAGCCCTTGGGCTGCAAGTGGCCTAAGAGGGCTATGAATGTGGCCCAACACAAAATCATAAATTTAGTTAAACATTATGAGAATATTTCTGTGATTATGTGTGGCACTGTCATGTAAACTAAACATATATACGCTCTCGCTCTATGTACGCTGGCATGGCCTCAAGTTCTACGGCGTGTGTGGCTTCCAGCGTGTCCTCTTCCAAGCGTAGACAGTGGGATTGACACCATCAGATGTCCCATGTGCTCATGGTGACTCAGCGAGGCAGCGATTTTCAATAACATTTCAACCAACCTTTGCAACATTAGGCATTCAGTG